ACCCCACTGGATATAGGAAATTAAAAGAAAATTCGAACACAAGTTTTAATTTAAAATGACTCCGGAGAGTCTATATTTTAAAAAGAGAATAAAATAAAACACTGAAAATTTAGATTCACAAGACTCACAGTTGCTGATCTCTGCTAATCCAGTATGGTTCACAATTTTTCACTTAAACAATTTATTAATAATGCCACACTATCTTATTGATTTTAAATTTTTTTTTTAATATTGTCTCGACACAATCCAAATATTACACTAATTAAAAACACAAAAATATAAGCCACGAAAAACTTAAAACCAAATTTGTCACGAAGGACTTGAAAATAAACTTGTGTTGAAAACTAGCTAAAATGAGCTACGATGGGACTGAGGAACAAAACGACGCGCAAGTGGTTTTGTTACCCCAGCCTGAGGGTGTGTCCTCAGATGCACGGAGGGAAAAACTAGGGGACCAATGGCTGATGACCTTGGGCCCGAATTTTTTCTTCCTTGCACTCCGCTCTCAATGTTTCAGGGTTAACTCCGACCCCTCTACATTGAGATGTCGAGAGTGTGGGCGGACTTTTCCAACCCTCGACTGCCAATGAGAATCGTTTCGGAAGGTCCCATTTTCTCCCTCTACAATCTCATTTGCTTAAAAGTAAAAGTTGAACAATTTTAATTATTAATCTAGAGATTATTTATTAAATAATCCTAAACATTATTATCTTCCCGAACATTATTTCGGGTAATTTAAAATTAAATATTTTAAATAATTATGTCTTATTACGCCGTTCTCGGTTTAAAGAAGAAGAAAATGAAAATTAATTATTTGAGATTGAATTCCGAAATTCAACTCAATCGAAAATGAATTCTCTTACGTGAAATTTTGAAATGAGAATCGAGAAAATATAATTCCCGCAAGTTACAAATGAATGAAGTTATTTGATTTGATAATCGTTAATGAAAAATATTAAATAAAAGAAAAAGGAAACAAAATAATTTTCCATAAAGGAATTGGACGGAGTTCAATTCGTAACGAGATATATAATTAAATTGAGTAAAATATTCTTTCGAAATGGAAATAATTCGAAAGTATAAGTTAAAATTGTCCTAACGAAAAGTTTTTTATATCAACATAATTGTCATGAAATTTGCAATTATCCTGCTTTGAAGTTATTAATTTAAAAGAATATTTTGAAAACATTTGAAAATTGTCAAAATAAATTTATGACTTCCCGTTACGAAGAGAAACTCGAAGAACCCCATTAAGATTTCAAAAGGGACGGAAATTCGGATTTGGTTTTACGAGGGTTTGGGCCTTGAAAGAAAACAGACCCCAAGCTAAGATAAGCTACAGTTTGAGTTTCCCCAATACCCTTGAATATTGGACACGTCGCGTCGGAATTAAAAGACAAAAAGAAAGAAAGAGATAGACTGGGCGTGCACTTGAAATGCCTTCAGCATGACAAGACCCTGACCCATGTCTATTACTTTATGACCGACTTTTCAGGGAAAAGTCAGCTCGGAAAATGTTAACTNTATGTCTATTACTTTATGACCGACTTTTCGGGGAAAAGTCAGTTCGGGACATGTTAACTGCAATTTTACGACTTGCAGCTGGCCTTCGGGGCCTTTTCAACTAAAAATCCCGGCGCGAGAAAAAGTTTTAATTTAAACGGTTTTCCCGTTCGAATATTATTCAATTTATTTTTAAAAAAAGAAAAAGTGAATTCAAAATTTTCGACGGATGTCACAGATTGTATTTGAAGCCCTATAAAACAGGATTAGGACTCCATTTGAAACCAAAAAACTGATCAAGCTACCACACCGAGCCCTCAGCGATGCTGATATCATAAAATTTGCCAAACTAATGAAAATTCCTTATTTTCAACGAGTTTCCATGAGAAATACATTTCCCAAGGATCGATCTCCAAAGAATGAATCAGCTGTTGTTAATTTGGATAATAGAGATGGTCCTGATACACATTGGGTTGCATATAGGAAATGGAAAAACGATATCACTTCTTTCGACAGTTTTGGGAACTTACAACCATTAAAGGAAGTAATGAAATATTTTAGTGTTGATAGCATCGTCAAATACAATCACCAAAAATATCAAGAGTATGATACGATCATCTGCGGACATTTGTGCCTGAAATTCCTCAATGATGATCTATAAATGGTGATGATTCATTATGATGGCTTTCGGATGGATGCCGCGTCTAGATTCAGCTTTTTGCCGACGTTCCGCAAATATTTCAGTCTGCATCATCAGGGCTAGGTTGCTCCGATACTGAAGCTCCCCATTGTAAGGAAGTCCTTATATCCCCCCTGACCGCTGCAGGGGGTAGATAGAGTGGTGGGGGGTATCCCAGCCAATCAAGATTTTTTTAATTGATCAGCTGGTCAATTAAAAAATCTTGATTGGCTGGGATACATCCCACCACTCTACCTACCACCTCCAGGGGTCAGGGGAGATATAAGGATTTCCTTACAACGGGGAGCTTCAGCATCGGAGCAACCTAGCCCTGATGATGCAGACTGAAATGTTTGCGAAAGGTCGGCAAAAAGCTGAATCTAGACGCGGCATCCATCCGAAAGCCATCATAATGAATAATAATATTGGCCGCGAAAGCCTCAAAACTCAAATGAAACGCCTCCACAGAGAGGCTATTAGTAGTATAGCTATGGTGGTTCTGGACCAATTTGACCTTGAGAAATGAGTCATCAGGTCCAGAGCCGCGTTGGAGGGGGGTGGGGGAGGGGGTGGTAGAATGTTCTAGAAGGTCTGAGGAGGGGCTGAGGGGTAGGGGCTGAGGGGTAGGGGCTGAGGGGTAGGGGCTGAGGGGATAGAGGCTGAGGGGTTTAGGGGTTGAGGGCTGAGGGGTAGAGATTCATAGTAAAGAGTTAGAGGCAGTTTATTGGGTCAACTTATTATAATATTTTGTTCATTAATTATTCATTTTTTCAATGGACGATTTTAGCAAAAATGTTAAGAAATCATTGTCGGTGATGATTATAATATGTATATATCTAGTATTGCATGTATTTTTGGTACTGCGGAAGAGGCTGGAGATAGAATGGTCATATGAAACGTAGAAGGAAAGATAGAGCATTCGTGAATGATTGAGTGCAAAATTATTCCAACGTTCTTGTTATATATCTCGGAAACGATTGCTTTTAGAGGCAAATATTGCAAGAACTTTCTAATGGTGAATATATTTTTAGTCGCATTTTTCTTCTGCTATTTCCTTGTGAAATCACCCATTCTCTAGATATTTCTAGATTTTAATCATGTTCTTGAGTGTGCAGATTGCACGCTCGAGGGGGATTGAAGGGGAGAAGAATGGACATGTGAGATGCAAGAAGAAAGATAGTGCACTCTTGTAGAATCGTATTGGAATGAATTCGAAAGTTTTTTAGAATAATCGATTTCACTCTAATGCCAATGATTTTAGAAGAAAACATCGAAAGATCTTTCTTATAGCTCAACAAATGATCAATAAATCACTCTTCTGATATTCTCTCGTAAAATTACGCAGTATGATGATAATTTAGTATTTGTAACGCCTGAGCATATAAAGAGATGGATGTATATGTATTCTTAAAGGGACCAGCTTGATATGTGTCACTGGACTGTCTTGTTTATTTGACACGTCACTCTCGTTCATTCTCTTTAATGCGAGGATAAGAACCGAGTCACTATCGATGCACTCGTTGCTCCTTCCTCCCTCTTACGCCTGTAACAAGTAATATAGGACGGCATGAAGGAAATTTTAGGGATAAAAGAGGAAGTGGATTTTTCGAAAAATGCGTACTATCAATTTATTTATTTCTGAATTTTCTTGAAAATTTTACACAGATAACAATTTTGTTTCATCGGAAAGACCCAATGAGGGAGTTCATTCAATAATTTTTTATTCTCATCAGTATCATCATCAAGCAATGAGGGGTCGTGTCGTCGACATCTGCGGCAATTGGCTATGTCTTCGTCTTTGCGCATCTCTTCAGGTTATTTCTCCCAAATCTCCTCGATATCAGTAGATGCAACCTTAAGAAGAACCTCTTTCGGAAAGAATGCAATATCCTCAGCAGCCATAGTCTTGAGACTGTCCAGGTGACAATACATCTTCAGAGCCCTGTCGAGGGAAGGTGTACTGTTCTTCAGGAACCACATTTTCATGTTCTCCACATTCTCTCGAGCACAAGTATAATGGGAAGGGTGATTGTCATGATCATGATGATGGCACGTGAATAGATCCAATGTTGATAACTTAGCTCAGTTGAAATTTTCTAAATTCACGACTGGTTTTGAGGAATCAAGAATTTCATCGAGGAATTGTTGTTTTTGTAGCCCTTTCACATAAATGGTGGTGGCGTTTTTGACCAGTCTGTGAATTATTTCCTTTAAGTCTTCATACGGTGTATCACCAGCGTTCCAGGGGATTTCGTAGAAATTCTCACTCAACCATGAATTCATATTTTTTGACTTCTTGGGAAGTGCATCTCAGGCATACGGGGGTTGAAATAGAATGCATTCCAACCCTTGATACCCATTATCACTGGTGTTCACATGTATGCAAGCTAATTCTTTCACAAGAAACTCATCCAACACTCCTCGAAAGCCTTGCATGTCCACAATCACTTCCATGTTTTTCGAGGCAAAATTTTTCTCCGTAGTAGAGTTTGGTGAAATACCAAAATTAGAACTAAATTTGTTCGGTGGGTGCATGCCCTTTTAACGTCTAAAAAATTACGCAATATTGCTCTAGAAAGATCAAACCGTTTCATCGACGACAACAGTTCTTCGAATCCAGGCGGACAAACAATTCTGGGAACTGTTGGTTCACATCGATCTAGAAAAATCATTCGCAACGTTTATTTCAAATAACTATGCAAATCGAATAACAGTTTTACAAAATAGGATGACATCCACTGAATCTATTGTTTTCTTTTGGTTATAGAACGTAGTGATATGATACACTTGCGACTTATCTCGCAAAAGGGATCATCTTTCATTTTTGATTTTCATTCGAGAGGATTCGAGTCTTTCCCTCTATCCTTGTCGCTCGTGAAAACAAGCAATCGGAGTGTATATATACCCCCCTCAAATGCATCGACGCGTCATTTCAATTCTACCAGTGACTAATTAGTCGTGACCGCGTGAGGACCAGTGACATCTGAGTGACGCATAAGCGATTCCGGTGGATTTTCGAGAGTGTAAGTATTCTTTCAAGTGACAATGAAGTGATAATGAGAATTATTAATTATCGGTGTGATTTTAAATTTTTTTCAAGAGTGTACAAATATTTTCGAGTGATTTTTTTTATCCTTTAAGTGAATGCAACAAACTCCTTCATCAATCGAATATTCGTATTCTCAATACAAGCGGGAAAATCTGAGAGGGTGTTAAGTTAGGAATTTTTTACTTCATTATTTTAAAGCAATCGTAAATCATTTCTTCTGTTCAAGTGCTGAAGAAAATAGAGTGGAGATATATTATTATCAAGTTTAGTGCATGGGAATAATGAAATACTACTCAATCGGTCAAAATTTTCAGAGGGTGAAAAATTTTCATATGAGCTTTTATTCCACGTGCTTACATTTTTTCGAAATTGAACAGATTTATTATTGTTTTGATTATTCATTTTGCAACGAAGCTTTTGAGAAATATTCAATGATTTCCGCTTATGGTTACTCAATATTCCCACAATAATTTGTGAGTTGCATTTACTCTGTCATCCAAGAAACCTCCTTTTGCCATGAAAAAAAAAAATATATTGCAAAATAATTTGGATAATTTTTTATGAATAGAATTCTCTTTCAAGTGTAATCTATTGATTTTAAATGGTATTACATTTACTCTTGTTCTTTTGTTAGATTGAATTTGAAGGAAAAAATGGCACACCAGCACCCAAGTTATTCAATGGTACCAAATGTTTGGGTGCCAAATGAGTGGATGAATTTACTGCCTAGACCTGTTCTCCACATGGTCATCGCCATGACTCTTCATGATGGAGCAACAACAGACATGAACATCTATGTCGATCTGGTTGGCGTTTCAACTGTTCTGAGAACGCTTCCAGAAGGTCCATCCTTCTTCTTTGAGAGAGCACCACTCCCGCCATGCACAGCTGGACACGGCTGTCCTCGTTGCCATCGCTGCAATGATGTTAACAACGTTCCATAAAAAGTGGTGAGATTTTGTTATTTATCGTTGTGAATGGTGATGATAATAATTCCTTCCTCGTGCATGACAATGTTAGAGGACAATTTCATTTTTTTTCAAACTTTTTCATACGAAAAAGTCACACTCTTTTACGCTTGTGCATTAAAAATCAAGATGTTTGGTCAGTGGAAGGGTATCATGCATGAAAAAATTTCATACAAAATTCTAGTCAGATCATGAGAAAATTCTATTGAATTTCTATTGAATTTTCTATCAAATTTTTTGTTGTCTTTATTGGAATGTTAATTTCAAATTTTTTTTTTTTTATGTTCCGGCCCTTTCCGCCCTCTGATTGGCTAATCGGCCCTATCCAACCCTATGCATGCGGCTGTGGATTTTACACTGCACCGCATTCGCACTCCTATAGAACACAGGAGTAGCATGGGAAACCACAGAAAACCCATGCCGGTACAGGCGATCACTATATTAGCGACCTCCCGCTCGCCGGAGCCTCCGGTTGAAAAACTCGGTTCCACGGAGAATCGAACTCACAACCTTTCGCACACTAGGCTCGCACCTAGCTGCTTCGGCCACCGATGTCGGTAATTTAAAAAAATTCTATTGAGTTTTTCCATGAAAGTTTTCTTATTGAACATTCCAATAGAAACGATTAAGAACCTAATAGAAAATTCTATAGAATATCCGATAGTACTGTCCCATGAATTGGTTAGAATTTTCTATGAAATTTTTCCAAACTTTTCATGTGAACAAGTTTTCCACATTCTTTTACGCTTGAGCATTTAATCAAGAAAATTAGAAGACAGATATTGAAATATTTTGACTAGTAAAAGGGAATCACATATGAAAAAATTGCAAAGAAAATTCTAGCCGAGATTTCTATTTAATTTTTTTTTAGTTTTTTTGATCGTTTTCTCTTAAAATGTTCAATAGAAAATATTCCATAGAAAAACCCAACAGGATTTTTTTTCTATACAACTTGTTCTATTGAACATTCTAATAAACACATTCAAAATCTAATAAAAAGTTCAATAGAAACGTTCGAAACCTAATAGAAACGTGGAGTGAATTTGTCATGTTTTTCTGTAAGATTTTTGTGTGTGTGTGTATAAACAAAATTTTAGTATTCACAGATGAAAAAAAAAATCAGCATAAATGAAATACAATTTTATAGATGAAAGATTTCGAAAATCTGGATATTAGCGCAATATAGGGCAAAGTGGAACGTTCGTCAACAAGTAAAAATCTAAATATTTCGGTTCATAACCAGAGATATCTAGAATTGAGGTAAATTATGAACCTTCTATTTTGCTCTACTCTCCCTATTCATTGACATTTTTTCATAAACCTTGATATGAACTTCATTCTTGTTATATTAATATTTCTAATAAAATATTATCTTTTTTCAGGACTCGTACAGCTGAGCACATGATGTATCAATGTCGGATGGAGTGCTCATCTCATGCTATATCGACTTCATTCCTCATTTTATTTTTCTACATGAACATTTTTTTTTAATTATACAATGATATCAAAGTTTTTCAATTCATAAAGGCACAACGTTTATTCATTTCATTGTAACTATCATTGTACTTATCATGATTATAAAATAAAGAAATATTCCCTTCTTAAGGTTCGTCTAAAGAAAAATATTTCGCTCTTATTTTTCATGATTTTGTTCCTTGATTTTGTTGTTGATACAATACAGGTAATCACTAGAGAGAGTGAGAGAAGATGAACCGCTTCTCAATCATCAATAACTCGAGATTAATTGAGATTGATTGAAAATCAACAACCAACACATCCGTTCCATTCAAGCTACGGGATGGGTCAAAGGTCTTTTATATTCTATATGAAGATTCTTATATTATCTTTTCATGGGTTCATATGGAAGAGAGAAGACAGTTTTGAATTTTGGAGATGATTCAGTCAAATTATATTCAAAAATTTTCTACAAACTTGAACAATTATTTTGAATGAAAAATACTCGTACATTATATGAAGTGAATCTATTCATTATAATCATGTATCACTGCTGATTTTGTGTTCGGCTTTTTCAATAATGCTCAACTCACAAAGATAATTTATATATTCCAAAAAATTGATAAACAGTCTCAAATCTTGATACTATAGGAACAAATGCAGGAATAAACGGAATTATTATGTCTTATTATTCTTTTCACTTTTTCATTACTAGTCCTTCTCAGAAGAAGAGTCATCCTGATTTTTGTTATCCTTTTTCTCAATGATGATGAACTCACACGGGTGATGTTTGCCCACCAGAAATTTAATGTACAGGGTATCATCACTAGCAGCTTGTTGAAGAGGACACAGATTTTGTTTCTCCTCCAATAACTTAGTAGAAATCCTGCCTGGTAACCAAATGGTGAAGCTCTTCTCCAAGACGGCCAATGCCTTCATTCCATAGCGGGTCTTCGCGAATCGAATTCCAGTGATTTTATAAAGTTTTTTCACCTGCAATTCATCAATTTTTTCGTGGGTAGAAAGTCGCTTTCCTTAAGAGCAATTTCGTTAATTTCGTCACAAAAAGAAGTTCTACGTTTCTTTTGTCTGTCAGCCATTCTGTCTGGAATTAAGAAAAATCAACAAATAGATATTTGAGAAATGAAAAGAGTTGTCTCAATCATCTCTAAGAGAATTCTGATTTTTTCATCAATAGGAGGATAAATACTTACGTTGAGTATTGGATAAAGAAAGGTATCCCCTAAAATCAACTTTCTATCTGCGTTAATGGGATTTATTTTATCGATGTGGTGGAACTTTTCACTTGCACTGGATGAATTATCCTCAGAGGTGTACCTTGTGAAACTGAGCAATAATCTCACTCGAATGGTATTTATAGACTCTAGGATTTAATCTAGTAAATTTTATATAACGTAGAATGAATAAGTGGTAAACAATTCTAGGAATTAATGTCAACGTTGAACCAAACCTTCTCGAAGCTCTACATGTGAAGAATTTAATTCGGATAATATAGAGAAATTTGGGGTAATGAAAGCGAAAATTACATGTAGAAAAATCTGGATACTCAAAGTACAGATCACTCAAAATACATGGAATCCATGAACTCAAGTTTTTATAGAAATTTCTCGTCTCAAATCCTAACCATCAACAATACTTGGAATCATCTACCACTCTTTGACCTTGGGTTGGAGATGTTCTAGAACAACCCTCTCTCTGATAAATAGTGGTAAACAATTCTAGGAATTTATGGCAACGTTGAATCGAACGTTTTCGAAACTCTCCATATAATTTTCTACGTGGGATTTGATCCCATTCAATCAATGCAGAGAAATTTGGGGATTAAAATAAAAAAATGACATGTAGAGGAATCTGGATTCACTCGAAATACATGGATGCCAGACACTTAATTTTTTATAGAAACTTCTGGTTTTGTCAAGTTCCAACCATCAGCAATTCTCAGAATTATTTACCACTCTTTGACCTTGGGTTGAAGATGTTCTAGAATAACTCGCTCTCCGATAAATACGGGTTTCAAAGTCTGGATATGAGTCATTCGTCAAATCGAAAATACCATTAGTACAAGATGGAATTTTCCGATTTAGACTATTCTAATAGATTCTATGTGACGTAAAAAATGAATAAGTGGTAAACAATGCCAGGGATTAATGTTAACGTTGAATCGAATCTTCCAGAAGTTTTATATGTAGAAATCCCATTTGATGAATACAGAAAAATTCGAAGAATTGAAGGAAAAATCAAAGGTAGGGAATTGATGAACTAGAGTTTTCTATAGATATTTTTCGTGTCTTCAAGTTCCAACCGTGGACAATCCTTAGAACTATTTATCATTCCTTGACCTTGACTAGTGGATGTTCTAGAACAACCTTCCCTATAAATAGGAGGTTCAGAGCCTCAAGATGAGTCATTCATCAAATAGAACTTTCATTGGTATGAAGTGAAAATATATTCTCTCGTAAGTATAAACAATTATCATATTTCTAAACCACGGTCAATTCTAGAAATGTTTGGAACTTCTTCGAAAGTTGTGAAAAATTCTAGAATGTTTTGGAATATGGTACATTCTATGCCAAGTCAGCTACGTTGATTTTTTTCTGTCTCATAAACGTTAATTGGTACGTTCAATATCAAGTACTACATAGATGAAATTTTTTTGTAAATTTTCATCATCTTAGCACCATTTTCTCGCCCAATACTCATGATAATAGTTCAAATTTTCAGAAACTCCATCTTGTAAACGGATGAGCGAATTTGAATGAATGAAGAATGATTCTTTTGACGAAAAAATACTCCAGTGGCGTAAAATCATGTAATAATCCATTTTTCAGTTTTTTTATTTTTCCAATTCAATTTTTCATGCGAGGGCCAGTCAAAAATTGATGGGGGGTTTTTTTTTCTGAAAGGCGATATGAATACACAATTTTTCCGCATAATTTTAAAATGGAATTCAGTAATGACCATGGTGGCTGATTTGACATGAAATATTCCTTATTCTAGAAAACATTTCTCACATGATTTTTTATTTTTCTTGATTTTTATGTATAACTTATTGCTTTCTCACTTTGAATTTTTAGAATAATGGATGTAAAAACGTGTTTGAGGGTCATAAGCATCTTCGAGACTGCAGTGAAAAATGTATCTGCGCATGAAGCTGAGCATTGGATACTATGGTGTAATCATTATATCAATCTTTATCGGAAGCTCCTTTAAAAAAAAGAGATCTTTCTGTGAGCGAGAAACTAAGATTAGAAACAGCAATTCTCGCGATTGACGCCTGTTGTGAGAAAATTAAATTGAAAAAACTACGATATGACGGTGATATTGGGAATTCATCTCGAACTAGAATAGAAGAAAGAGTCACGTGGAGAGACATGGAATCTGTGTTCAATAGTAGAATACGGACAGGTGAAGTTATCAACTTGAGTCAGAAGGATTTAGAACCTTTTCTAAGGGATGCAAGAACTTTAGTTGAACGACGTCTGAGAAATATCTTGGAGCAACAGGAAAATCTGAAGGTCAACGGTATATTAGCGGCCAAATTCCAAGTATTAAAAGATGGTGAAACTATCGAAGAAACAAAATACTTCAATACGAATAATCAGATTATTCTACCAACCACCGATATTAAGCAATGGTTCAATGAAAATCTTAGTGAAAAATTAATCGAAAAGGTGGAGGATTTCCAAGAACGTGACTCTGGGTGGCATCTTACAGAAATAATTTACCTCATGATAAATATCAACAGATACGTTCCACTCATCGCAGGAGTGAATACTTATAAACCACTACCTAAAAAAATTTCAATTGAAGAGAGCAGTTGTGAACATAAAGAATAACGATGAATTCTGCTTCCTCTGGTCAGTGATAGCTGCACTCTATCCTGCTACATCACATACTGATAGAGTCAGCTCATATCCTCATTACTCTACAGTTACATTACCCGGCCAGCAGACTACACTCACTTTTACAGGAATCGATTTTCCAATGAAATTGAGAGATATTCCAAAATTCGAGCGTATGAATCACTTATTAACAAATATTTATGGTATACAGAATGAGGAAATTGTTTCTTTGTATTTGAGTAAATATGAGTCCGATCAGCCAACAATCCATCTTCTGTAGTAACACATATCTAGCGTCTGACATGCAACCAATTTATCACTTTGCTCATATCCGTAATTTGTCTCGTTTATTAAGATCACAAGTTTCAAATTACGAGCATCCTATGTGGCTTTGTGATCGTTGTTTGGGACATTTCTCGAACAAAAAATCATTTCATAATCATCAAAGAGATTGTCTCGATATGAATGAGTGTAAAATGGTCCTACCAACTGAAGAGCAAAATATTTTACGTTTCAAGAATTACACGTTCAGAGAGATGGTACCGTTTGTTATACTATATGCCGATCTTGAGTGCATCCTTCAATCAACAGAAGATGGATCTCTCGCGTAAAAACATATTCCATACGGCATTGCGTTTTATTTACAGTGTGCCTTTGATGATAGACGATCGGAATTTAAGATTAAACGCGGTTCTGCTTGTATTGACTGGTTTGTTGATGAATTGCAACGAATAGCTCATGAGGTTGACGTTTGTTTGAACATGAATGTTCCAATGGAGTCACTCACAGCTAAACAAATCTCAGAATACGAAACAGCACGTAATTGTCATATCTGTGAAAAACCTTTTACTGCGGATGCTGTAAAACATCGTGATCATTGTCATTTTACCGGAAAATATCGTGGTCCGGCGCATCCTCAATGCAATGTGAATTATCAGAATTCTCGAGTTATCCCAGTAGTATTCCATAACCTTTCCGGTTATGATTCACATTTTTTCATTAAAGTCTTAGCCACAAAATATCCGGGCTTATTACATTTACTCCCACTAAATAAAGAAAAATATATTGCTTTTACAAAACGAGTAGAAGGCACTCAAGTTAGTGTGCGATTCGTTGAGTCATTTAGATTCATGGCAAGCAGCCTAGATAAACTGGCTGCGTATTTGAATGATGGAGATAAACACATAACTTTTCAGTCGTGTAATAC